TGAAATTCTTTAAGTGGGGATAGGAGAGGACTAAAGGATTAGGAATTCCTGCAGTTTCTTCTTTTAGGTTGCAAGCACTGATGCTTTAGCATACTATGTCAAACTATAACTGCTCCTTCAAATGTAAAAAATACAAGAGTAAATGAATAAGGCAATTCCTATATTCCAGGATGCATGAGTATATTAACCCTACAACATCATCGCCTGCAAATGGCATTAAAAGCATTTTTCTAACATTTTGTTCATGGGGACACTCCCATAGTCTAATGTTTGGGTACATTAAGTGGTTAAAAGCATTCCATTAATCAGGAGCTGTGAAGTGAGTGGGGTGGCTCTTGCAGAGTTTAGTCTTCTCAGAGTGGTGAAATGTGCTCCGTTTGGCTGGGATAGAGTTAATTTTCTTCACAGTAGCTGGTATGGGGCTATGGTTTGGATTTGTGCTGGAAACAGTATTGATAATACAGGGACATTTTTGTTACTGCTGAGCAGGGCTTACACAGAGTCAAGGCCTTTTCTGCTCCTCTGCAAGTAGGCTGGAGGTACACAAGAAGTTGGGAGGGGGCACAGCTGGGACAGCTGACCCCAACTGACCAAAGGGCTATCCCACACCATATTCCATGTGATGCTCAGCATATAAAGCTGGGGGAAGAAGAAGGAAGAGGGGGACTTTCGGAGTGATGGCGTTTGTCTTCCCAAGGAACCGTTACGCGTGATGGAGCCCTACTTTCCTGGAGATGGCTGAACACCTGCCTGCTGATGGGAAGCAGTGAATTAATTCCTTGTTTTGCTCTGGTTGCGTGCAGGGCTTTTGCCTTACCTATTAAACTGTCTTTATCTCAACACATGAGTTTTCTCACTTTTACCCTTCCGATTCTCTCCCCCATCCCACCATGGGGGAGTGAGAGAGCAGCTGCATAGTGCTTAGCTGCCAGCTGGGCTTAAGCCATGACAGTCAACAAAAAAGAGAGGAGCTGGATGTAAGTGGGAGATGCAGCACTGCAAAATGTAATGCATTTTTAAAAATGCATTAGATAGAAGGCAGAAACAAAGAAAATGCAACCACAAGCACTTGGCAAAGGTAAAACCTTTTCATACTTTTTTCAGCTGGGGTGCACATCAATAGCACCTAGGGGTCAATACCTTCAAGAGACACTTTTTAAGAGCCAAAAGCAACCACTTGTGCTGCCGATGCCCATTTTACTTATGGCTGAATAAAATTCCTATAACTCATATTGCTTGGCTCCGAGTGGGATCAAAGACTCAACACACTCAAACACCAACCAGAGCAGACAGCTTATAGAATGAAGCAGTCAAAAGCCCACGATAGCTGAAGCTCTCTGAAAATGTGGAGGCAGTAGAGAAGGTTTAAACAGCACTTCACAATGCATCTGTAAGAAGTGGAGTCAGCAAAATGAATATTGGCTGGGAAGTAGCCATAAAACTCCTTTTGGCAATATGTGGTTCCTCAGCATTCAGTCTGACTGGGAAGAGATAACAACTGTAAAACAGTCTTGCAGAAGTTTCAGAAGCAAACTTGTAAAAATGTGATGTGGACAACATGAGGATCTGAAGGATGGGAACCACGATGATTTATGATTTGAGGCATATCTATGTTTCAATCACTGCAGCTTTTTTAAACTCTCCAATTCCAACAGCACAGGTAAAATTATGCATGACAAACCCAAGTCAAAAAAACTAATTGGCAGCAAGCACAAGTAGGAGGGCTGACTTTGATCATAGTTCACAAGAACACAAAAATTCATATATTCCTGTGAACTCCTGATGCAAGAGTGGAACAAGGACCGCAGAGAAAAATAAGCTATCAAATGGGTTTCAAGGGAAAGAAAGGTCTTAGCAGGAGACTCCTTAATTCTTGGGGTAAGTTTCTGCTTTTTAATGGAAAAGAAGATGAGAAATGTTGAGTGAGAGTTGTCCGTCTAAATGTATACATCTGGATCTAACCTAAGCATGAGGAATGCCTATATGGTGATCAGAGACAAAGGTGATTACAAAGGGTGAGTTTCATCTCATCATGCAGCAGTCCCCTACAAAGGTCAGAAGGATTACACCCTAAAAAGCCTTTGATTGTAAAGAGGACCATGGTTGATGACTTCAGATGTAGACATTTACACTTGCCCAGAATTAGGTGATACAAATCACTCTGTCAGTGTCAGCCCAACTCAGCCAGACCTTGAAGGCAAAGTGTTTTAGAACAAGAGTCACAAGATGTGGCAGTTGCCTTGCTGGAGGAAGGCAGCTCTTTTATGACATGATGGGTTATCCAGAGGAATCATCAACTGGTTAGTGAAACCATTCCATGTAGGTCACCAAACAGCCTCTATTTCAGGGTCTTAATTCTATCTCCCAGCTTCAAATTCTGATACTGGAACAGAACAAGAACAAGCCTGAATAAATCTCCATCATGCATTGGGGCTATTGACTGATAACTAAGATAGCCCAAAGGGACCTGTGGCTGCACTGACTAAACAGCTCTTTCTCATCAAATCAGAAAAGAGATTCAATCATAGGGGAGTTTTTCTTTCTGTCTCATTAATTCACTTTCTGTGAAGCCAATACCAGCCTGGAATCTTTTCCAATATATGCATTTCTCACATTTATTTTTCTCTGCTCGAGGCAATGGAAGAATGAGTGAATGTAACAAGATGATGCTATGAAGACATTAACTGCCCAATAGCAAAGAGGTAGAGCTATTGGGAGAAAAGTATCTCATAGCTCCAGTGTTTGGGAGCTTCACTGCATAAAATTAATTTTTCTGATCAGAAGATGTCTTTTTATTTTTAGTGTTGTGCTTAAAGCTCATTTCCTTCATCAACAAGAAAAAAAATCAGCTCAGTAACTGCAAATCTTTCATACTGAATGATTGCTATTAATTTTCAAACGTACTAAGTAATGTAAACTCTTTTCCCATACGATCAAAGCCTTGTACTTCTCATATATAGTGATATTGGTTATCACTGGGGAGTGACCCTGTAAATTCTAGATCATGGAATATAGTCTTTATAGCCTAGGCAAAGGGACTCAGTCCTTTAGTTTAAGGTTACAAAACAGTTCACATCTTCTGTAGTTCAAGCACAGCCAAAGATATGCAACACATACTAAGAAGTGGTTACATGCAAATGCGCAGACTGATCAACCCTCAAAGGTATTTCCATTTTGCCTTTTCTAGCTCTGTACAGAAGCTGATAACCTTGAATGCACTGAAATAACTTTAAGTTACTGGGAGGGGGGAGAAAATAAATATGTTTCCAGTAGTTTATGTGGCATCGAATTTAAAAAATTAAGAAAAGTTTAAATTGCTTATTTTTTAAAAAAGGCAAAACATCTTAAAATGCATTGCTTTAATTATTTAAAAGTTCTCCAGTTGCTCAAACTAAGTTACTTTAATTTAGAAAGCCTGTTGAAATATGCATAGATTTAAAATTCAACAAACTTTTAAAATTGCTGAAAAAAATTCCTTCTCCTGACACCAATTCTTTCATTAATTAAAAAGATTTTTCATTCCAACTGTTCTAAATGCATTTTGAAGCTAAGAATGCCAATGTCCCTTTGAGTTCAAACAATAAAGAGCCACAATAACATTTTTTTTTTTTTATTTCAGATCTTTGTTAAAAAAAAATGTAGTATTTACAAAAAAAGGCAGACCAAAACTCTTGGACTCCTGTCCTCTCCTTTACCACAAGAAACATACAGTATAGAGAATATCAATGTGAGTTTCTTCATGCTGCTCTGTCTCTGTATTCCAATTCTGGTCTTCAAAATCCATTCTCTGGAAATTAGTTTCACAGCACGGATTACTGAAGAAAGATTTTGGTTTTCTTCAGTAGAACTAGCCTTTTTCCTACAGTCTGAAGGGACTATTTTGTTGGATAGCCAGTGGTTCAAAATTCTACCTCTCTGTAAAAACCCAGATCATTTCTGATTGAACAGAGAACACCTTTGGGGGGCTCACTCACTTTTGGCTTAAAGAACACTTACAAAGTACAGTCAAGTTGCCTCTTACTCTTTTGGATAAGCGAAAGGGACTTCTCTCCATACCCATTTAAGACAGGTTTTCTAGGTGGTGTTCTTGTGTTAAGAACAGTTGTCATTTTTTTCTTAGTGTTCCCTCCTGAAAATCCTCCAGCTTCTCAAGATCCTGTCTGCAGTGCTCACACTAGATCTAGGCAATCCCACTAATGGCTTTCCTGTTGTCTAAACCAAGGAAATTACATCTTCTGTACTTCTAAATGACATTACCTTGAGTTCGAATTAAATTTCAAATTAAACTAAGCATCATATTAGGAGCTCAGATGTGTTACCACTGGAGCAGATAGATATGTTTCTTTCAATGTTGCTGATTTTTAGGCTACAGCCCATCCCTCATATGCCTCTCTTCTTAGTGGGAACTGTAATCTGTTTTCCTCAAGGCATGACTGTCTTTGCATTAAAATTAAAAGTTGAGTATTTCTTGATTACAGCCTGTACGTCAGACAAAACAGATAACTCTGTATAAAAAAACCTCTTCTGCACTGCTACTTACTGCTAACATAACATGATGTGGTTTGTAAATGATGTTCTGACTAAAAGGAATCAAACAAGTTAATTTAAAAATGGATACATTAGTAGCCTTCAGTTAATTAACAACACTTCCCCTTTACTGACCAGCCGCACTTATGAGAAGCTCGATAAGGCTCCACACAGAACTTGCCATAAAACCATTAGAGTTAAATGGAAGAAAGTCTAAAACCATGGTCCTTAAAAGTAATAATAAGTTCTAAGGACAACATCAGAGTTATGGTCTCCTAGAGCAGTAAAACTTCAACAGTCGTGTGATATAGCTATTGCACATGAAAATTCATGCAATCATTTCTGGTCAAAACTTCATATAATACAGATTTCTTGCTTGTGTAATCTTGAAAATAATCTACAGCATTTCTCTGTAAGCATGAAGTTGTTAGACGCCAAAAATTTGACAGTTGTAGGCACTGGAGATTACTCACCCTTGAAGGTCTCACTGCGGTATAAATTACTGAAAAATGAATCCCTCGTTCCCGCAGATCCATGGTCAGTCTTCCAATTATTTTGTCTATAAATAGTAACATGTATAATTTAACAAACTCTGTAAGATGAGAAAGCTAAAATCCTACAGTAGTTGGAGAAGTAATGAGCTAGATGTTTAAGCTTATTTAGTTTATTTAAGCAATTTAGGTGCTCGTAACATTTATATGTCAATAGGTACAAATGGGATAAGACATGTTCAGTGTCTTGGAAAATGCACAATTTCAGTGAGACAATACAAAACAAATACATTACAACAGTTCAGAAAAAGGGGTGATTTTGAAAATGAAAAGTAAATACCGTAGAAACAATACCTGGAAGGCTGAACTTTGGAAAATTGAAAGCAAGAGCAGAAGAAATTTCTTAAGAGATGACAGCAAGATGCATATACTGTTAGTCAAATGGCAAGTTAATAAATAAATAATAAATCGTCAGCAGTATTATTCCCTGAATTACAAAGTACACAGAACCAGTCATTGAGAAACAATACTCAAAACGTAGTGCTTAGTTTGGGGCAGGATATGCATAATATTGGCAGTAATATTCCTTTTTGCTTCAGTGGATTTACAGCCTGATTCAGCACCCTCAATGGCGTATTGAAAATTTTGCTGTTGACTACAGTGGAGGCCAAAGGAGAAATATGGAGGAATATTTCTGAAAAAGGTAGGAAAGTCAAGTAATGAAGAGCGGACCTTTCAAGGAGGTGCAAAGATGCCTCTACAGAAGATCCTCCTTTAATTCTGAAACCATAGTCAGTTGTGACAAATACTTCCAACTGATAAATATTTTCAAGCTGTACTCAGAAATATTAACATCTGCTTATGATAAGGAGCATAACAGTTGCGAATCAAGAACCATTATTAGTGTTGTTATTGGGATGGATAGAGAAATAAGCAAGCAGACTCACATTTATTCTTTCAGTGCCTTCTCACTTCTCATTTACGTACCAGCCTGGTGAATGGAGGTTCTATACCCTGGACATAAAGGCTTCTCAGATTTTGAGGGTTTACAGAAACTGTATTTCATTTTCATGTACTGGATGTTGAGCTTGTGTTATTATCCTTTTTAACCTCTTCTATTTACAGTAATTATGGTCTCCTGGCTGAGCAAAATGTTTAGCTTTTGTAAAAATGCAAGCATTGGTTTTTCTGCAGGTTTTTAACCAAATTTATTTCCTCATATCAGTCCAGAATCATAGCTATGTAAATTTTCCTTCTAAAATATTATTGCTAAAAGGAGGTACTATAAGAAAAGGACTTACTCAGAAAAACAACTGCTGATATATTACTAGTGTGATTATATTGGGTGTAGAGGTCCAAGGCATTACACAATGTAGATTTGTATTCTATATGCAAAGAGTGAACCTTGCTGGAAATTCTCAACAGCCTCAGTTAAAATTTGCGGAATTAAAAAGAATACATAGAAAAATGCATAGATTGTATTTGGTTTTGTTTTCTTTAAAGCAACCGATTGCTTTCTGAAACAACACATTATTTGCATTTCAGTTTAGTAAGGAGCTACGTGTAACTATAGTTACCAGTAACATCTATAACTCCTGCCTTTGGGAAGATTCTAGAGGCAATTCCTTCATTCAGAGAAGCTGCTGTGAACACCTTTATGACAACAGAGTTGATATAGATCTTTGTTTGCCTGTGATCAAAACTCTACCTTGCTTATGAAGTATTTGCAAATTCTCCAAGGAAAGGGGGCCAGATTGTCCACCATATTTTAAAGCACCTAAATTACGTGCCTACATGGGAACATTAGTCACCCTGGGTGCTTTCTTTAATGGAACAAGAGGCATCTCCAGATGGTGATATTGATGTTAGAGTGATTTTAGAGTGGTTCTATGAAGGGTTTTTTTTTTACTTTAGATAGCACGGATCAAGGAAACACTACATAGATCTATGAATGTAAAACAGTTTGTCTAGGATAACACCTTCCAATTAGCATAACTGCCTGCATTTGTGCCCTGGTGGAAGCATTAAACCTTTCTAACTCATTGAAGACGCATCCCTTGAATTTCACCAGGGAGTGCTATTACTAATTTCTAATCTACCTTAATTTCTGTGTGTGATTTTACACATGTATGGAAGGGATGGAAGAAGTGTACTGAGAAGAAAAGTATAAACTATGAACAAGAGAGAAAGAATAGAAGAAAGCAGGATGAGACGGGGAAAATGGGAGAGAAGAGCTGAAAGAGGAATGTACTGAGAATCAGAGTGGCAAAAGGAATACATGCAATAGCAATTAAAGAGCCTCATTTTATGCAGATGGAGTCATAGGCTGCTTTGCCTTGATTTTGAGGTGTGTTGGATCCAGCAGGTAAGACTGACATGACAGAATGCAACTTTCTCCTGAGCAGAGAAACATTTAGGAAAACTGGCAAAAACTGAATAATAATGTTAAGCTCTACCACATGCAAAAGAAAGAAGGAAGAAATACTGAAAAGAAGCATAAAGAAAACAGTAAGTCTTAATCCCTTGAAACTTGAGCAGATTTGGATTCTGAATTCCAGTCTGGATTTTGTAATGAGCCTCATTTTAATAACATGCTAAAAACCTCTGCTTACTCCAGTTTCTAGATATTTCAGAACAGCACATTTCCCTTGGGCAGACTCTGAGCCCGTTTGTTCTGTCTTACAGAGCTTCTGTCTGCAGTGAGTAAAACAGCAGGAGAGATTTCTCTGGCATTTTATTACACCAGATTTTAAAACCTTCTACAACAGAAAGGAAAGAAGTTGCTGTGACAAACATAAGAGGCTTTGTGAACTTCTAGGTAGCCTACTATACAGGTCTGTGGTGTTTTTCTATGGATTAACTGTTGATATGGGGGGAAAAAAATTACAAGCAGTATTTATGGGTTAAAAATTCTGTTGTCACATTGCAGGTATGTGACAAATAGTGGTTTTTGTTTCTTACCCAGGTAGGATCTAGCAAAGGTCCCTCTGTAACAAACACCAGTAACTCATGACCTTGCAAGTAGTTCTGACCTTGAAGGGTCTCCTGACAGCAATATTTAGCAAATTACTGTGGTTGTGCTGTAAACAGTACCTAGACCTGCTGGAGCCCAGATTGCATGACTTGGAAGACTGTGTTTGGGCCATACACACTACTTTTGGAGTGACTCTTTTCTGACTCTCTCCCATCTGCTGCACAGACCTTCAGTGGGATAATTTTAAGGAACTGTGGCTCAGTAACTTTCATTTGAATTAAAACTTCCTGCTTATGTTATTTCCAGTTTTTATTCAGCAATGCATTGGGTGACTGCTTTGGCAAATAAACCAGAAGGTGAGGATTCAGCCCACACTCCCACTTTTCTAGAGCACAGCTGAGATGCAGAATACTAAGCGCAGATTTTGCACTTGGCCATACAAAGTGGCACACCTTCCCTGATCCACACACCTTTTTCCCAGTAACAGCTAGCTGACACTAACAGGAAAGCTGGTATAACCTGTTCCTCCATCATCCTACAGGTTTCCCCTTAACTTTGCTGTTCCAAAACAAAGTGGCCTGAGACTGGGTTTGGGAAGCTTGTTCTTGAGTTCGTGCAGCTGATGAAAAAAATGTCCCATAAAGAAAAAGCTAATGTTTAGCCAAGGCCAACACTAAGCCAAGGCTTTTCCCACCTAATATGCTCTGGGAACAAGAAAAGAGAACTAAACAACTCCTCTGCAATTCAGAGATGGAAATCCAGCTGCTTACTTGAGTATAAAGACCACACACTTTGAAGTAGTGTGAAAACAAAGAGAAAAGGACACACCACTGATTTCAGTACTGAGGTATTTTCCCCTGATTTTCCAATCTGCTTCTGCTTTTACACCCCCAGCTCTGGGCAGAAACAGTCACAGGCACTAAGGACACTCTTTAGTTATCAGCCCACCACACCACCCTACACTACAATGCATGTCCCCGCAACTACCACTACAGTAATCTGCAGACTTTATGACTTGATCTCTAATTTAGAGTAGTAAGCAAAAGCCCTGCAAAAAACCAGATGCCTCTTTGGTGTATGGCACCTCTTTTTCAGCCAGATGCTAGGCAAGAAGAGTTTCATTATAGTGTTATATGGAGAGATTCAACTTTAACTAGTAGTCTTTAATACCTGCAAAACCAAAAAAAGTCTAAAATCAAAGGCTGTGAAGGGGATCAGTATTGTTTTACAAAGATTAGAAAAACATTTCCTATTCATGCAGACACCCTCTGTTGAGACCAAGGCCTTCAAACTGCCGGGGGAGCCTGACATCTCCAGTTGCTGGTGGGCGAGGTGGGACTGAGGGAGGCAGTCCGAGCAGGGTCTCGGGGCATGAACAAAGGCCCACACCTGAAGTGGGGTTGAATTGTCATTACATTTCAGGTCACAGAGCTGTATCCATTTCAGTGGATTTTAAATCAGGCACTCAGTACTTCAAGACGATGATAACTGACTGTTTATAAGTACTATAGATGGGGGGAAAGAAAACCTTTAAATAGTAGTATTACAGCAAAACCCAGGAACTAGCGAATACAATCTGCTCAAGTGAAAACACAGACTTAAATCACAAAATGTTAGTTATATCTTGGTCATATTGCTTACCATTTTCAGCAATTGCTTCCAGGGTGGAAATCTCATTTAAACCACTATAGAAAGGGTGTGAGAAAAATAATTAAAGATCTTTTCTAGGCAAGAACAATGTGAACCAGAAATCTACAAAGATACTAACTAATAAAGGAATACTCTCAGCATCAGTCCCTCCACCATTCTCTCATCTCCTCCTTATGACCCTTTTCTTCTGCAAAGCCATTAATAGTACAAGGACCACATCTTCCGCTGATTCCTCAAACCTCCTTAGCTGCAGAGAAGCCAGACTACTGACGTTATTTTGATCAATCTCTGCACAGCTTTCTTTTAACTTGGTGTTGGCCCTTGTCTAACATTTGTACATGAGCTCCTTAAAATGGGTATCATGTCTTTTTTTGTGTAGTAATGTGATAGCTATAATTGCATTAGGACCTATTGATAGATGCACTGAATAACAACATGTACAAATGCCCAAATAATAGGCTAGGAAGAAGAAAGAGCAGGAGAAACTGAGTAGAGGGACTCAATACATCCATGCCCTGTATTTTCTAAATATACATTCACCTGAAGGAACAGTGTCTCTCTACCTCTCTTAGATTACAGTTGTCACAGGCCTGGAAACATGAAGAATTATAGCCCTCCTCTTCTAGAGTGATGAAAACCAGTCTCTTTATTCATATTAATTTCAGGTTTGTCTGTATGTTCATTTGTTTGCTTATTTATCCTGCCAGATTTTTTGACCCCTGGAATGCCTTCTAGCAATTAATTCTGCAGGTTAATCATGTGTTGCATAAAATAATTCAGCCTTTCTGCTAAAAGTGTGTTGCCATTGAGTTTTATTAGTTGTCCCTTTGTTCTCATATAATGAGGCAGACAAAATAGGAACACCTGACTGACTTTCTCAACATAATTTATCTGTTACACCTGGTAAGCTCATCAGGGGACTTTGAAAAACACAGAGTTTACCCTTGCAAGAAAAATAGCTTTGCAAACCCTGTAAGCTTCCACACTGGTTTTTAAATTTCCTGAATAGAAGTGACATTCTCAAAAGCCTTAAAAATCGTGCACACGTGTGGGTCAGGTTTTTTTTGTGATAAGCTCCTACCTGGCAAGTGGTTGCAGCTGAACCACCAGTAAGTTTGGTTTAGATGTATTCACTTCCAGCTGAGAGACATCGAGATTAGTCATGCTTGTTAACTTCCAATCTCCTGACTCCTGAAGAAAGCTCAGAAGATACCTCGTAGCCTCATAGTCAACAGCTGGCAACACTAAAGATGAAGGAGAAGACTGAAGAATTTCCTGTAATAAATTTATGAACAGTTTATTTACTTGCTTAATAATTAAAACCAGACCTTTTTTATGTATTCTTAATTTAATATTCAAGGTGAGGAGCCACCCTGGTAATCACTACATGAGTTCTCACCAGCCTGATGCTGGCTGCAGGCTGCTCCTGGAAAGGTGCAGTGAAGGGACACTTCTGTTGCTCTTAATCCTACATCTTCTTGGAGCAAGCTTAAGGCAGTTAGCAAAATCAAATTCTTACTGTTCTTTCCATGCGTGTGGTGGAAGAGGAGAGACAGATGATGTAGGAGTTCTCAAGCTAAGAATGTATTGGAGAGACAGGTTATGAACACTGCCAGAAGCAAAGCTCATCAGATGACCATCTAACTAAAATGCCCTCAGAGGTGACAGGGACCAACGTCAGAGAACTCAAATGTCTATTCAGTACAGAGTCATACTTTGCATAATAAATACCCTTCCTTTGTGTACATGCTGGTGGTAGAGCACATGGTACAGACAAGTGTCTAATTTGTAACTGCTAATTAAAGAAAACTACAGGTTTCAGGATCTACAGAGCCTCCAGGCACACACGAACAAACTTTGTCATGTACTTTCTGTCTTTCTAATCAAAATACAAATTACAAAGCTCAGGTTGAACTGGTTCAGATAATCAAGCATCACGGTATCTATCACTTTATTTATAATTCTCATAGCTGAGTTTCTGATGAAAATACTCAAGTGAAATGAGTTTAAAAATATTCTTGTTCTATGAATTTAAAACCTGCATAGTCAAAAAAGTTCCTTTCCAAAGGTTCTTCTTGATAATAAAATTAATTTGAAACATTCAGGGAAAGAAAATGCAAGATGGAGACTTGAGAATGATCAAAATTAATGTACCCCAAATTTAACGTGAATATTTGAAGATTTTTTTTCATTGAGTCCTAGTTTACAACCTGTTAACTTTGTTTTCCCATTTTCTATATTTAAGCCTAGATTGAGTCTGTCACTTGATCCAACATTCAGCTATTCAAGTTGTTATAGACGCTCTCTCTCCCTCTAACTGGTGCAAGTGTTGTAGTGCTGCTAACACTTTCCTCCTACTACTCTTCTTCTTTCGTGTCTGTTCTCTGACTGCCTACCACTTTTCTGACCTGCTCTGGTTCTTTCTAATTGCTCACATGTTTTCCTTCCTAGGCAAAGGCTAGTTATTTTCACATTTCTTTAGGTGCTCATAAGGGAGGATTATGCAGTATTGTCTGATTTGCCAGACTGATAGAAAAATAACTGCAGAAATTAAAATAGAGCAGAAAGCACTGATCTGGTTCACAGGTCTTTGAGTAGCATTTTTAGCATTGCCTGGAAGGAAAAGATGATACATTTCATTTTGGTTTGTTTGCATATATGAATTTAGAGCTAAAATTCTGAGCAATAGTCAATTATTTTCTTTTATTTTCAATATTTTAATCCCTTGCCCCCAGGCAGCAACCAGAATGGCAGCAGCCACTTCTTCCAAGGATATATATTAAGCAGATTACTCATTTATTGTAGAACAAGATATAAAATGCATCATTACTGAGTAATATCTGAGTTGTGCCTCTGCTCCTAACCAGTCCTGCACTGCCATCTGTCTCAGCTTCCAGCCACTGGTATTCAGCTGTTTTCCATCTGAAGGCCAGACACAGCTGGATATCTCCTCATTAGCCTCAGCCATTCTGATCCCAGGCCTCTTGTTTGCCCTTCTTGATGTTTGGCCACTGCTCACTTGTCTTTACAATACCCATATGTTGCTTTACACATTTTAGAATTTCAACTACCATGCATGTTCAAAACATGAGAACTCCAAAAGAGGGCGGAGAATGAAGAGGACTACTGAGAAACACCTGATTTTGCATTCTGCTGAAGGACTAAGCAGAGAGGTACAACCACACTGTGGGAGAGGGAGACGGAAAGGGGGAAGGGAAAGGAAAGGGAAAGAAGAAAACTTCCTATTGGAGTTGGACTGATAGCAGAATTTCCTACGTTAAATGCCAGAATCTATAACCTGTCTATGGGCAGCTTACTCTGATTATGAGTACATTTACTTACTTTAGTGTCCCCTGAAGCACCTCTCCTGAGTGAAATATCACAAGAAACTTCACCCCAGTATTACATATATCGCTGTTCGGGTTTTTTAGAAGGTAGGTGTGGGATGACTCTGTCCACATTTCCAGCCGTCCTGAAGCCATGTAGCTGCACTATGATAAAGCTGTGCTTGGACTTACTTGCCAAGCTCTGGTTTCAGTGTTACATTAACTGGATTGATATTACACCTAAGATGATTGGAAGCTGGAACAGAGTAAATTTAGGTCTACCATTAAAAACCTATTGTTAAAATCTTTGCTAAAGACTCGTGCATCCATCTAAAAAGATCATGTACACATAGTCACTGTTCTGAACTAGGTTATGTTTGGTATCAAAGCTGATAGACAGTCCTATAATAAAATATTAGTTGGGAAAAAGGCTCCTGTGTTGGCTCTGAAAATATCTGGGAACCTATACCCAAAGCAAGATGGCTCTTTCATGTAAAAGAGATCTTTTAAATCTTCATCTTTTACCTGTAAGTCATTTAAAATATTAAAGTATTGTATTTACTTTCTACAGCATTGGTCAATGGGTTATCCATAAAAAAGAAAAATCTATTCAAACAGATTTGGAAGCACATCTGTTTCTACACACAGTGAGAACTGCAAAGAAAATTATCATTGTTGCATTTTAACTTTCCAATTACTATTAATCTTACAGACTCTTACACTGTACCTGTGTTCTCCAAATGTATGCATAAAGCTATATATTATGATTTTAATGCAAATTGATCTGATGTACTTTAGCTGATAAAGTATGTTGCAGCTTCAGAAAGTGTTGTTGAACAAACTTCCATACCACTGTACTGTATGGTGGCAAACCTGACACCAGATTTTTTTTCCAAGGGTTACAGACAGATCCAAAGAGCTATAGAGAAGCAAACCTGAAGTCCAAGAATGGGAGGATCTATTCCAAAGAATGAAATACAGACTATAAGAACAAGGAAGGATTATGCTGGTAAAAAGCTGACATGGCTTTTGCAAAAAGAAGTTGTGCCTCACAATTCTGCAGAAAATCTCTGAAGGAGTGCATAGGCATGTACAACAGGGAGTTCTAGCTGATGCGGTGTACTTGGATCCACAAAAGGCTCTTGGCAGAGTCTTGAAGCAAAGACTCCTAAAGAAATTAAGCTGCTTTAGCGTGAGAGGCAGTCTTCATGTGGAGGTAGGTAAAGAGTAGGTAAAGAGATAGCAAGCAAGGGGTAGAAAAAAGTATCTGCTCCTGCACTAGGGCCTGTTCTATTCCAAGTATTCATAAATTTTCTGTTAAAAAGGCATAAATATTGAGCTAATGAAATCTGCCGATTATGCTGAATTATTCAAGATAGTAAAAGGAAGGGCTGATGAATTGCAGAAGCAACTTCCGGTACAACCTCTTGGGCAACAAAGTGATGAGATTCAGTGTAAATGGATTTTAGCAGAACACAGGGCGAGAAAAAAATTACACTAATTTTATGTGCACAATAATAGATAGCAGACTCAGAACTGAGTGTTGCCCTTCAATAATGAAACTTTAAGAGGCACAACAGCTCTTTGAAAATGTCTGTTCAGTGGCTGATAGTGCTCAGAATTGAAAAATCAAGTATTAGTAGTGTTTTGGAAAAGGCTAGAGAACAAAACATCAACATTTCACTAAATAAATCTATGATGAACTTAAAGCTTATTACGAAGTTCTGCATGCTCCCTTGTCAAAAACCAATATAACAAAACTAAAGGTAAAGAGAAAGAGAACAAAGACAATAGAACTACAGTAGGACCTCTGTCTCCCACGTGACTAAATAGTACTCCTCAGTCTATGACCACTGAGTGAGGGTACGATGGAGATACAGAACCACGAATGGCAATGACTTACAATAAAAATTATGCAGCTGCACAGCTGGCCACTAATTGGAGTGTGTTACCATACACTGCAGTTCTAAGGAGCAGAGCGTTGTCTGGGGAAAGGCAAAGCTAATATTAAAGAAAAATAGTTTGTAGGGTAGGTGACTGCTTGACAAAAAAGTTCCCCAAGTGCTAATGTTTGTATTTTATTATTTAATTAAGAAGTTCTTTGAATGTTTAAGATAAATGATCTACCTAGAAGATTCTTTTTGTATTAACTGGAAATAGGATTCTTTTATTGCATAAAAACCCATTGATCCCAAAAGCTCAAAACAGCTACTAATGTAGCTGAACAAATCTAATAGCTGCAAATGTCTCTGTGGTTTACAAGCCTGTAACTCTTTTACAAATAACACTTCCTTCCTGTAGTACACATGCTGCTACATGCACACATACATTCTAATTGAGATCTGCAGTTTAGGTTTGTGGATAAATTTGCATTTTGGAAGTTCAAAAGGAGGATACTCGAGTGACATGGCACAGCTATTATAGCTTAATGAATCATTTGTATAACATAGAGTATGAAGGTATAAAAATTTGTGATTATGCAACATCAAAGATTCTAATTTTCCCAGTGAGAAAATTCAGACCTGACCTTCACTTTGCCCTGCGTTCTGCGAATATTATGGTAGAGTCTTTCACAGCATGATTAAGAATGGATTTCTTTCCCAAGGTAGCTCAAGAGGGGTGCAACTGATACGATAGCAACTCAGCAAAATTTTGTAGCCTCTGTTACACCCAAGATGGAACTGTGTGATTATAAAGATCTCTTCTGGCCCTAAAAGCTACAACTCTATGCAACAGATATTGACAAAAATCTCCATATGAGCACCCAAGTGAAAAAAAAATATTTAATTTATACATCCCATTTTCTTTCACTCAAGTTACAGCACCTCACCCCCCCAAAACTATGCTAGAAAAGTATTAAGATTGCCAAGTCCAACAGAACAAATCTAGGCAGTGCTGGAGTTGAGGTGAGCAATTTGTCAAAAGAAACTTTCCACTTTTAAAGAAGCTGTAATGGGAAAAAGTTTCTCAGCTCCAAGACAGAAAGGGAACAGAGGCAAGGTCAGAAAACAAACAAAACTCTTACTAACATTTATTCAGCTTGTTGAAAACCTGGATTTAAATCTTTGCTCTGCCAGATACAGACCAAAGATGTCCTTAAATGCAATCCTTTGTTTAGCTGAGGACCTCCCCCCCAGCCTCGGTAGGTCCCCAATCCACTCCGTATACTACTGGATTTCTAAACCCATCAGTCTCTGGACTCATCTCCAGCCTTTGGCTATAAGCTCTGCCTACAGTGCTGATGGGGTCCTGACTACAAGGCAAAAGAAGAAAGTTTTAAATACTTTAATATCCTTCCTTTTAAACATCCAGGGCCTACTTAAAAAAGATCACCACATCATTAGGAGCTCGCAATGTCGTGTGTACGTTTCATGCAGCTTCTAAAATCAAACCAGCTTTGCAGTCAGGCAGCAACAAAATTTGCTCCAGACACAGCCTTGCATAGATTTTAAACCCAGAGAAGATAAGGCATACCAGAGAAGTACCAATACATCTGCCTGTGTCAACAATCACTGATCCTTACGCTACAAATGATTATGACTCCCATTCAGTCCTCGGGAAACCCATGTATATACTTTGAAGAGTTGTTTTCGTTCCAGCATCAGTGTTAAAATGCTGTTACGTGGCAAAGAGATGAAGATTTCCAGTATCAGTGACACAAGGAATATGTGAGGTTCTTAGACAGTATAGATGTAGGGACAGGTAAACTGTGAATATTTATGTATTTAATTACATATACAGCTTTCTGTGTGGTGCTTGGGAATTTACGCTTCCTTGTGTGCTCTGATGCCAGTTACATTACTAAGAGCTCCGTTCA